TATTAAAAAAAATATTTTGATTTATAAAAATTGGATTGATCTTTTAATTAATTAATATTATAATAATAAAACATTTTTTAACTATTATATTTTTTCTTTTTTTTAAATTTAATATTTTCTTTAATTCTATATATTATTAACATTAGTCGAAATCAAAAAAATTAGACATGTGAAAATTGGTCTAAATCAGTCTAAATTTGACCTAAATTTGGCAAATTATCAAAAATCAGTCTAGCCGATTAGCATATATCAGAAATTGGCCAAGAATTAGCTAAAATTCGACCTATCTTATTTATAGCCAATTGGCATACTTATAGCTGATTGATATATATCAAAATTTGACTTATCTTATTTATAACCAATTGACATCTAATTGGAATAATAGGGTATTATCGTTCTTTAGAAATGATAGTTTTATTATTTCTTAAGGATGATAGTTATATTATTCCTTAAAGATGATTATTTTATTATTTCTTAGAAATAATAGTATTATCATTTCTTAGGAACGATAGTTTTATCGTTCCTTAGGGATGATAGTTTTATCATACCTAAAGAATGATGATTTTATCATTTCTTAAGGATGATGGTATATCGTACCTAAGGAATGATAGTTTTATCGTACCTAAAGAATGATAATTTTATTATTCTTTAGATACTACGATTTTATTATTCCTTAAGGATAATTGTTTTATTATTCCTAAGGTACGATGATATTATTATTCTTTAAGGATGATGGTATTATTGTACCTAAGGAATAATAGTATTATCATTTTTTAGGTATGATGATTTTATCATTTCTTAGGGATAATGGTATTATCATTACTTAGGAATGATGGTTTTATTATTTCTTAAGGATGATGATATTATCATTTCTAAGGAATGATGCATTTATTGTTCCTTAGAAATGATAGTTTTATCGTTCTTTAAGGATGATGGTTTTATCGTTCTTTAGAGACAATAGTTTTATCGTTTCTTAAGGATAATGGTATTATTATACCTAAGAAACGATAGTTTTATTATACTTAAAGAATGATGGTATTATCATTTCTTAGGTAAAATGTATTTATCATTCCTAAGGAACGATGGTATTATTGTTCCTTAGGGATGATGATTTTATCGTTCCTAAAGAATGATACATTTATCATTCCTTAGGGATGATAGTTTTATCATTCTATAAGAACAATAGTTTTATCATTTCTTAGAGATGATTATTTTATTGTTCCTTAGGAACGATGGTTTTATCATTTCTAAGAAACGATTGTTTTATCATTCCTTAAGAATGATAGTTTTATTATTTCTAAGGTATGATAGTATTATTGTTCTAATGAACTAAATTTTCAGATAAAACTAATTTGCTAAAATAATATTGATTTAATGTACTATTTGAGTTTTTTTCTGGTATATAGGAATATTTATATAAATAAGCTTAATTTTTTAACTTTTTAAAAAATAATTTCAATCATTTCCAAATTTTCTCTTTTTACATTTCACCAAAATCCTGAAAAAAAATCGTCCTAAGAACAAAAAGACCTTAAGTTGAATTTTAGTCAATTTTCGCCTTCAACTATCAAAATCAGATGAAGAAAAAGCTGTATTTTAGTCAACTTTTCAAAAATAAACTGAAATTTTTTTACTTTTTATAATAGAAACATGCTTTAATTATCAAATCAGACGAAAATTAAGTTGAATTTTAGTCAATTTTTCTGATTTTTTTTTTACTTTTTATAATAGAAACATGCCTTTAACTATCAAAATCAGACTAAACTTAAGTTAAATTTTTCTGATTTTTTACTTTTTATAATAGAAACATGTCTCTAATTATCAAATCAGATGAAAATTATGTTGAATTTTAGTCAATTTTTCTGATTTTTTTACTTTTTATAATAGAAACATGTCTCTAACCATCAAAATAAGATGAATCTTAAGTTGAATTTTTGTGATTTTTTTACTTTATATAATAGAAACATGCCTCTAACTATCAAAATCAGACGAAACTTAAGTTGAATTTTTGTGATTTTTTTACTTTTTATAATAGAAATATACCTCTAACTATCAAAATCAGACAAAAATTATATTGAATTTTAGTCAATTTTTCTGATTTTTTTGTTTTTTTTATAATAGAAACATGCCTTTAACCATCAAAATAAGACGAAATTTAAGTTGAATTTTTGTGATTTTTGTGATTTTTTAATTCTTTTTTTTTCAAAAATAGCAATATTATTATAATGAATATTTAGGATGATTTAAGGAGATTTTAGGAGGAAAATATATTATATTTTTATTATTTTATATGATTTTTTCATTTTTTACTTTTATTTTTTAGATAAGAAATTAATCAGTGAGTTTTGGTAATATTTATGTTATATTTTTGCGAATTATATTAGGTTTTATTATTAATAAAATTATAATATATTTAATAAATTTAATAATATAATATAATTATCGATTTTATATACTTATTTAACTGAATTGATACCAAATTGAGGTCAATTTTAAGCTGATTTATGTTATTTAAGTTTTGAATTAATGCTAAATGATGCTAAATTAAGGTCAATTTTAGGCTAAATGGCTATGTCTAATTGGAGTCGATTAGCACTTATCAGTGTTTGAATTATTGCAAATTGAGGCCAGTTTTAGGCTGATTTATGGTTGAATTTAAGTTCTGAATAGCCATGTCCAATTGGAGTCGATCAGTATCTATTGACACCTGTTTATGCTGATTGGAAAACATGACAATTTAGCCATAAATAGTATCAAAATCAGCCTAAAATCAGCCATCTGATTTTTAGCTGATTTGGACTATTTTGATTAGTGTAATATATAAATCTTTATGAATTATGATAGTTTAAAGGTTAATACTTTTAAAGTTTATATAGTAATTTAAAGTAAAGTAGAATTTATTTTTTATAAAATTTTAGTTTTAATTTATTATTCTTTATAATAGTGATAAAATTTAGTCAATCTTAATTATTATTATGATATTTAAAGTTTATAGTAAAAATACAAATTTATTAAAATAAAATTAATGAATGATAATTGTTTTAGTCTGAAGTATAATTTTAGATAATAGAATATATAATAAAAATCATAATCTATTAATTTATATTCTTTTTATTATATTTGATATTTTATGAAATATATATAATATAATATTAGTTATATAGAATTCTGATTAAAGATAGAATAATATTATATTTAATATACCTAAATATTTGATTATTTTTCACTATACTTAAAATAAATAAAAAAAATAGATGATAAAAGAAATAGTAAGAAAATAAGAAAAGAAAAATATAATAAGATATATAAATGATTATTATAATAATTGAATTTTATATATAGCTTTTTTTTTATAATCTTAAAGGACTATATCTATACTATATTAATTTTTATACAATAATATATTAACTAAGTTAATTAAATTAATCATATTAAATACTGTATATTAAGAATTTTAATTATATTAAATATTATTTTTTATATTTATGTTTAATATATTTAGTATTTATTACTATGCTATATTAGTTAATCATATTACCTGTATTTAATCACAATATTTAAAAAATTTATTTTCTAATACACTATTATAATAATTTTTTATTAAATTACTAAATTTTTTTTATATAAAAACAAAAGTATTTGTATTTTCTTATAATTTTTTTTTACTATATTTTTTAAAACTTTTATTTATAATATTTATATTAATAATTTTTTTTGATTAAAAGTTTAAACTATTTATTTATCTATCAATAATAATCTTTTTATAAAAATTAAGACATAAAAATATGAAAAATTAATTTATTAATATATAAATTGTAAATTGCATAAATATATAAAATTTAACAAAAAAAAATAAATAAAAAAAATAAAAAAAAAGAAAAGAAAAAATTTGATAAAATTTAAAAAATGAAAAAGGATAAAGAAAAATCTTTTTATTTATACTTTTAAAATTAATAAATCATTGTAGATAAACTATTTAATTTTTAAATTATAATATATTATTATAATTAAATCATTTTAAATTTTATTTATTAATCTTATAAATATTATAATATTATAATTTATTTTTTAAAAGTTCATTTATTTTTTTTAATAAATCAATTATATATCATCTTAAAAAATTATTATTATTATTTTATAAAATTTATTTTGATGAATCTTTTTGATATAATAATATGCAAAATAAATCTGCAAATACTATTTCAACTATTATATAAATTAATTTATTAAAAAAAATATAATGAATTGTTTAAGAAAACAGAATATAAATCAAATTTCTTAAGTATTTTATATAAATAAAGTTATAAAAAATAATACATCTTTATAAATTAAACAATTATTTATTTAAAAAATAATTTACATATATTTTATAATAATGTATATAATAAATTATCCAGTAGGATTTTAAGCAACCCTTATTTAACTATACTTTAATTAAGTTTTGAAAATAAATAATTTATATAATTTACATAATTACATTAGTATTTAATCAATTCTGATTTAATTATTATTTAATTATATTTTAACTATATTTTAAATAAAATTTTTAATAAATTAACTACTACATTTATGATTAATGGAATACCTTCAAGCAGATATAAGTTTTTTTTTTTGCAAAACACATTTGCTCATAGAACATAAAGCTTAACTTTGCTTGAAATATCTTTGTGTCTTGACCATCAAATTTTCTTTGCTAATCACATTAAGCCGATGCTCTGATTGGTCAAGCGTATTACTTTATTACATCCTGCTTTTATACAAGTTAAACAATATGACTGATTAGAACAAGAATTTGCTATTTCTTTACAATTATTATAAATATATTTTTCTATAAACTCTTATAAAATAAAATTATTTTAACAAAAAAAATTTGGTTTTTTAAACTGATTACACTATCATTCACCTAATGCTAAATGGGGACGAAGTCCCTCGCAAACCACAAACTCTAGTTATTTTTTAACCTCATAGCCGATCATGCGTATATAGAAAAAAAATTGGAATTATTTAGATTCTGAACGATTATACGGTGCGAATTTCAAATCCTTGGGTACAATTTCCGTTTTTTCTTTATGGTTTCCATTCGTTTTCTGGCTTTCATAATGTTCTTTAATTTAATATCACATTTCATAATATCATTTTGGTTCATCTTTATGGAACCGCCGTGAATTTGTTTATTCAACCATCCGTATCTCTCAAAGGCGATATCAAACCATAGCTCCACTTGTTCACGTTGTAGATGCAAGATTTCCGAATCATGCTCTGAGGAATGATTAACCATCTTTTGGTATTTTACTAATTCAAAACGAAATCTATCAAATAATTTTACACGATAAGTTATTTCAGCAATTTGACATTCGTTAAATTATGGATGGAAGCAATCAACGGTGAAGAGGAAAAGGTGTCTGTTATGTTTTGATAAGTTTCGCGTTGGGACATCTGAATATTCTGATTTTCTCTTCCATTGATGAAAATTAACTCGAGAAATTGGATGATCGAGTAGAGTAAATACGTTTTATGGAATGGAATCACAGTTCTTATGGCGGTCCCGGTGCCCGTCGAGCGTGATATCGTCATTTTCTGATGAAAGTTGTTTAACTTGGTTTAAGTTAGGTGAGTTTGACATGTCAAGTTGTATCATATATTTGTTCCTTTAAAGAGATGTTTCGTCAACGAATTAATTATTTTGCGTTTTTTGACCATTTCGTGTTTTTTTATAGAAATTTCACTTTATTAACTAAGAAAACCTCATGCGAAACGACCATTGTGCTAATTTTATTCACTATACGAGATTTACTGTCCATCTGTCACGTTGTTGCTTTGTAAAATTTGTAATCTAACGTTGAAAGAAGCCACAGAAGATCATTTAAAATTATTCTATAACTTATTGACTCTCTCACAGAATGTTGTGAAACCAACCAAACGCGTAGTCGAAATTTATGAAAAAACTTTTTTTTTAAAGTTAGCATGTGATAAGACATCTTTTCTAGATTTATTTTTTATTTATTTAATGAAATTATAAATAGATATGTTAACATAACATAAGAAAAAAAAATGATGATAAAGTAAATACCTTCGCATAGACTCATTGATGTTGTTTTTTTTTTTTAGAATAATTATTCTACCGCCGAATGAAACCTTAATTTGACACCATTTATTCATGTACATTTCATTGACCATTTCTCAGGAATTAAGTAACTCTGACACAATGGATGATAACACATCTCCACATTTTCATGACAAATTTGAAGAAAATAATTCCGCATAAGACGTAAAGCTGAATTTATTAATAAATAAACGTGAAATTTGACAAAAGAAAGGTGAATTTCACTCGGAAAAAAATTGAGCGAGTAGAAAATCATAGATTTCTTTGTTTTGCTCGGTCATATAATCAAAAAAAATAACCGCATGCAAGTGGTTATGCACATATTTATTTAATTACATCCTTTCCTCTTCTTTCATTCATTGTTTTTTATTTAACAAAGAAAATAAAAAATATAAATCATGTGACACAATTTGAACTAGGCATTTGTTTAGATTTCTTTGTCTGAGGATGATCTCAATTTAACGTCCGATCGGTTGGATTGGATTTATATTTAGAAACTCGTGAGGTCAATTTTAATATGAAAATCCGCCGGAATATTAAATTTAGTAGGCTAAATAATAATCAATTCTACCCCAAACTTATTTTTTATTTTTAGAAAAAAGCAAAAAAAAGAAAAGTAAAATACATAGTTAAAATTTATTGCAAATAGTGAGGCGAGGAGGTTAAGTAAATTTGGTAAATTGATTATTATATTTTCAAGGCAATCCGAAGTTGAAGAATCTCAAAGTAACTATTAAAAATACCTTATTCCGATGTATGTTTTAAGCATTTCTTTTTAGTTTTTTAAGTTTTGATAAAATTCCTTTTAAGACATTCAATATGCAAATTGATGACATATAAGATCTCCAGCATTTAATTTAGAACATTCACTATTACATAACATAATTGTCATACCACTATAAATTAACTATTAACCAATTTAAAGGCAGTTTTCTTCGAACTTTTATGTTCCTTGATTCCAATAACATTTAAAAATTTAGAATATACAGTACTTTAACCTTATGTAATAATAATAAAGTTATTAGTAATTTTCATTCTAACATAGTTTCGTATGTATGTGATAATTTATGTCGTGAACTGAAAATCCGTTGACAACGAACGTTTCTTAACATATTCACGACGCATCATTTTATAGAACGCAACCAATGAAATAATAAAATTGATGAGAGCGTGTTTAACTTTAATGATGTAAATTACCGTAATGCATTAAAATAAAATTATTCAATTTCCCTTTTAAGTAATATCCAACCTAAATCAAAATTCCATTACTCCACACTAGCAGTAAAAATTCCTTAATTCAGAATCAGGAATTCACAATATTAAGATATTGGGGGTAGTTAAGAAAATTAACCCTGGCCGAGATTTTATTTTCAGTCAGAAAATAATTACGATAACTTTGACCAATTTATAAAATTTATAGTGCCTCCTGAGTTCAATTTTAACCGGCGGATCTTTAGGTCGGTTCTATTCTAAATGTGATGTCAAAATATTCATATAACAAATATGATTTCAAAATTTTAAAATTTCTAAACATTTTATTTATATTAATTTGAATTTTATTTCACCTTCTTACTGCACAATCAAAGCATGCATAAGATTTTTATTTGTAACTTTGATATGGATATACTGGTGTTTTTCTTTATAGAATTGTGACGTTGGATTATAAAATAACAAAGCATTGTTTACATTTGATATGCAAATATAAAGTAAGTGAATACAAAAAAGTGGTTATGGTAAGTAATACAATCCAACCTCTTAAACCCGATAAATTTTTAAATTGAAATCGTCGAAATCGTCGAATCCATCGAAATCCATCGGAATCCGTTGAAACTGTCTAAATTATTTTCGAAAAGGTTTCGACTTTATTCATTTATTTCATCGTGATTGAATTCCGCAAGCAATACTTAAGATATTAACGCTGTCCGTAAGATTGCCGGGCAAAACCCGGAGATTTCGACAGGCATCGAAATCGAAACCCGTCGAAACCCCGCCGTCGTCGAAACCATCGAAATTTAAAGATTTCGACTTTTGCAATTCGCCATAAATATTAAAAAAAAAAAAAAAAAAAAAGAGCGTTTAAAATAATCGCAATCCATAAGATATTTTTTATGATAAAGAGATTATTAATCAAACTAATAAAAGTTGTTAAGATATTTAAAAAAAAAAAAAAAAAAAAAAAATGTCCAATTTATTTTAAAACGCACAATTTTTACAGAGAATTCTACACGTGAATATTAAAAGCCATTGATATTGTTATTTTTATTTGGAAGAAATTTTTCAGTAATAATATGCAAACAACTAATTCATCATGCTGTGTCCGACGTGCAACATGTTTTGTGTCGGTCAGCTGGGTTTCGTTCGCATATATAATTACATGATAATGCGAACACGGACAATTATTTTTTATTGAATTTCCTCTTTTGTAAACAACGGAAACGCTTAAAAAAAATTTTTTCTGCATCCCTTCTTTTTCTTTTTTTTTTCTCGTAGTGGTAAGAGATAAAACTTTAAATCATTGCACACGTGATCCTTGCACAACTTCCCCCTGCATTTATAATATCAATTATCATTTACGAAATTTTTATTTCATTTTTTTTTTTTTTTTTTTCCGCACAAAATAATTTCTTTATTTATTATTTTTTTTCTTTCTATAAAAAAAAAATATCCCTTTATTAGAACCATTTTAAATTTGCATTCTATAATTATCTAAATGGTTAATTCACAAAGTCATATAAAACAAATTTTTTTTTTTTTAGTACATCTTACGAATCCTTTTCAAGAAGTGCATTAATTAATTGCATGATGGCTGTACTTTATGTACTAATCCGCAGATAATAAGCAATAAATAGAAAATTTAAAAAATTAATATTTTCCATTTCAAAGTTAAATATGACTAAAATCGATTCCCGTCCCGTCCTTCTCTTATTTTGTAACACAAATTTAATATCATTCCCTTTCATTGTGATAATCGTTTTTTTATGCAATTAATTAAGCAAAACTCTATTCAACGAACAATAGACTAATTCCCGAAATAAGGTTCATTAAAAAAAATTTACAAAATAAACACATTATTTATATTTTAATTAATTTTAAATGAACAATTTCTTGACTTTCGTTCTCATATTTGTTTAATGTTCGAACTGGACAAGTTAATTCATCGTATTAGTTGACATAAAATTCGAATTGGAACAATCTATGAGAAGGGTCATCGTATTATTTGATTTACCGCGGCGCGTCTTATTGAAAATTTAATTCGGTTACCGCGGCTATATTTTTCATCCCTTTAAATATATCCTTCGGACATTCCCTTACCCCTTACCTTAATATGACGGAAATGGTATAATATCATCTTGTTTTGTGATGCGCCTTATTTATATTTAACCTTAAGAACTTATCTTAATATCTAATTCTATTTATAATAAGTTTGAAAGGGTGGTATATTTGACAGTTCAATTTTAAAAATTAATTATCGACTCAATTTTTCAAATGAGATGCGATTGATAAGAGTCGTGAAGATATATAAACACGATGAATTTCAACCATCTCATTAAACGCAAGCGCTAAAACAAATAATTTCTTTTAAAATGCAATCACAACAAGAAATTCTTTCGATCCGTAACTATAATAGAATTTATAATCCCACTCGCTATTATATAAAATTAGTCGCAGCACAGACAAAAGAAAGCCAAAAATTAACAGCTCTAAGTTTCTTGAGGCTCATCATAAGTTTCGAAATAAAACGAATACATGTATATGATGCAATTATAATTGACACGTTAACAGACCAATTATGGGATTCTTCAACTCCATTTCAACAAGAGAAATGGACAGCATTTGCGAATGACGTAAATGAAATGAAGCGAGCAAATGAAGAATTACTTAATAGAATATCTGGTATAACTGAACCACAAATAGTTAATAGCGACTTCGAACGAAATTTTTTTTATGGTGTCAGCTTTCCATAAAATATATGGTTACATCCTGTTGTTTTGACTATCAACTTCTCTTTGGTTTTCCACACACTATTTAACTTGTCTCTCCTCCACTCATGTCACAATCTCCTCATATTAAGATAAGAATTGAAATATGTAAAGTTAAAATATAATTAGATTTATTCATATAACGGATTGAATTACTCATTTTCTTTACCAAATTTGCTTTCAAATGTTATACTTTATATTTTTTATTTTTAAAAGTTACTTTGTATAACAAAATAGATTTCCTTTATTGTTTCATAGAACCTTTTCTTTATAACTATCTCATTTGGTCTTTTATTTTCGGGTTAATTTTATTTTTTCTCAATTTTTTTTTTATCATCCTTGTAATTATACAGTAAATTCATTAGAACGAAGCGCTTTTTTTAATAAATAAATAAATAGAGTAAATATTAGAATCATATACTGTTTGTTTTGATACATCTTTATTTTTATTTTCTAGTTCATAAAATATCTTCTTGGGTGAAAATACTTCCTTGGTTGTTTACTAACTTGATTCAGTTTAGTTTATTTACAATCAGATTCAATATATCGTCACATATCACGCGACACAAATGTGTACTTATTTTAAACTGGATCGGTCTGTTTTAAAAATAAGCCAAAGATTAAGTGTTTACACTTTAATTACCACATTAAATTTAGTTTATTTAAATTATGTTATTGAACATAAAATGTGTGTTTCAACATTTTTTTTCTGGTTTGCGGCTTATATTACTTAACTATTATCTTAACTATTTAAAAAAGATGCAAGCCAAAGAAATTTCACCCTTAAAAAATATTTAAAAAAGATGCATGCCAAAAAAGTTTTTACCTTAAAGTATTTAATAATTGGAATCGAACGCGTAACGCGAGGCAGAAGATTTGAAGTTGCGTCACATGTTTACCACTCCTAAATCGCAAGCCCATCTCTTCTCTCTCAGTAGCTTTAAACGCTAAATTAATAATTAGCAATTGATGCTTTCCTCATTTAGATTAATATAGGCGAAATGCGAGTTAAATTTTCACACTTACTTAAATCATGCTTGTCCACTCACATAAGAGAACCAGGACATGATGTTTGACCACAATTTTGTTCACTTACCTACATGCCGTGAAACGCAACTTCATAATTTTAAAAATAAATTATCTTTCAAGTTAATAATTACAAGCATTTAATAATTGCATTCATATCATGACATGTAAATATACACTTTCACATAATGTGCTAACTCGAAAACTCCATATTTATACTTTCATCAAATAGTCATTGATTTTTTTTTTGGTGAAAATGGCGATGAATATATGCTTAATCATTTCAAAATAATATTACACAGCATATAGTTGTAGTTATTAGCGAGAACTTTTGACTCTTAACAGTTTTCTATAATGAATGTTAAATAAGCGACTTTTTTGAAACAATAATTTTGTTGTCAAATTTTTATTTTCAAATATATGCGATTAGTGACATCGATAGTTGGAATTAAATATTCTCGATTGTATTTTGGATTTGATTTTAGCCAAAATTAAGCACGATTTAGCCCACTGCGGTATTCAATTTGATATTTGATTCTCAGAAACTAGTTTATATGAAAAAACCTGTACCTAGAATTTTTAGAAAACTTAAAAAAAAAAAAAATATCATTTACTAGAAGAGGGAGCGGATAAATGAGGTTGAAATTTTCTCGTAGGAAAAATAGAGCAAGGAAGAAACGGTCAAAGAGAAGTCTATGAAGAAACTAAATTTAGTAGTTGAAAGTTTGGAAAAAGGATGCAGCCGAAGCTAACTCATCTCTGTGAAACAAGCACATGAATATATTACCGTTGAAGAATTTAAATAAAAATTTTGAATAAAATTTGGTGAATTCTAATTTAATTTAGGCCAAAAAAAAATTTTAATTTTTAAATTACGAATTTTCATTTAGAGTCGCGACGCATTGGCACAGAAAATGATCTTGCGATAGGTTGCTTCACTAAAGTTTGTCTATCCATCATAGTAATTATGTATATATGTAAATGATAATTCACAATTACGTAATTACATGATCATTGTTTTTTACGTGAGATAATCAAAATTGATCCATTATTAACCTATTACAATATAAAGTACATACATGTACATGCAATCCAGATGTATAATGCTTGTGAATTGTTGCTTTCAAAATACGGTAGTTCGAGTCGCACGTCCAGTAGTTCGTTCTATCATTTGAAACATTTCCAACCAATAATAAATTAATAAATTGTTCTAATTTTAAATATTGAGTAATAAGACGATACTAAAATTTATTAAACTATTAAATTATTTTTTATTATCCTATGGGACATTGTTACACTAATTTTTGTAATACCTTGAAATAATTTTGCTATTAAAATTACACTAATTTTATTAGAAAAATAATTTAAAATTAATTTTTGTAATAAAAATATTTCAAAAAAATTATTTTAAATTATTTTTTTTCACGTTTATTTTTATTTTTTTAAAAAAAATAGAGTTTAAAAAAATTTTTACTGGGTATAAATATCTCCACTCCCATTCTTCAAACATCTATTCAAGGGTTCGAAACTTTTTAACTTTTAAATAATAATAATGTCAATCACTTCCAAAAGTTTGTGCTAAAATCTAATTTTAGATTTTTGATGTTACACAAAAAGAAATTGCTATAAAAATAAATTTAACCAAATAAAGCTCATATATCATAAAAAATACGAATCAAAAAAATCTCTTTTTTGGTTGGAGGGGTCCCGTAACCTGATCTTAATAGCTTAGGTCGCAAATATTGAATTTGTACGACCCAAACTTGAATTATAATTTCCCGGAATTAATTTATTAAGTAAAAAAATTGAAGTTTGTTCGAAAAAACGTTTGGAAAAGGTCGTTGGATCGTACCAGAAATTTATGGAAAATGTTTCAAAACTCGTGAATAATTGGCCTATAAAATTAACGTTGCCATTTTCAATATCTTATTTTGAAAACATACGCAGTAAATTACTTATGAGGACTATATGGGACCTTTGCAATAGAAAAGGGGAAACGGCTTAAAAAAATAAAAATTGAGTTAATGCTATATCTGAACATATATTGACCTAAAAATCATATTTGGATATAAAAGTAAAATTGATTCTTTCCGGCTGGTTCCCCCTTTCTATTGCAAGGTCCATATAGTTTATAATTGTTAACTCGCACAAAAATTTATGCAAATTAGGCTTCCTTACCGTCCGAATGTAATGTATAAATTTTTTATTTCAACCATTGTTAGACAGTCAGCGTACTGAAATATCATGTAACAATTACTTTTTTCCGAGTTACATAATTAGCCATTTATCCTTTCAAAGTTAGTGCCACCTAAATTTCTTCAACTATAAATAAGGTAAAAAAAAATATAGATGGAAATCTAAAATAAAGTTTATTGCAGCATTGTAAGGGTTAGGTAGCAAATCTAGTTTTCCAAAAATTTCCAAATATTTTCCTCCGAATCCTTCATTCCAAGAACAAATGCAAAGTGCAGTCACATTTAATTTATTTTTAAAAAATTAAATTACATTTACCAAGTTTACCATCGTTTCAATTGCAATTTATTACGCGTTTAGCTTAACTCCGGTCAAAAACTTTAATTTCGTTCGCTAACTCGGGCGAAATTGTAGTACCGGCCCATGTTTAAACTTATTAATGATTTACCAATTTATAGCCATTGTGATAATAAATTAAATCTTCCTTCAAATAAAAAAAAAAAATTATAAAAGAAAATGAAAATGAAAAAAAAAAAATTTTTTAATGCCCCATGATCAAAAAAAAAAAATAATAAATATTTTTGGCAGTATGAAAAAGCCTTTTTCCGGAGAGGAGCAAGCTGATTTGTCAATATCATCATTTAAAGTGCAAAATGGTGGTGTTTATCAGTAACGGAAGGACAACCTTAAAAATCGTGAAATTCATGGTTATCATGAACCTAATTCGAAAATTACTATATATAAATAGTAATAAAAAAATCCCTCAATCGTCAAAAGGAGACAGTGATAAATAAAACAAACAAACAACCCAAATGTCACACCAATGATTGAACTGATAAAGATCCATCTGTAATCTACCAAAATTTCTCATGTTAAAAATTTAACCATATTACAAAAATGAGTTTATTATATAAACCCTATGGATTCCAAAAAAAAAAAAAATAATGCTCACAATTATCCCTGCTTTAAAATCTCCAAAAGTAATTCTCTAATAAATAAAAAGTAATATGTCTTCTAAAGGGTTCTCCAAATCCGAATTAGAAAGTTTATTGTATAATCTTGACTACGACAAGATTTCCATGCCCCCATACGATAACCAGCATACTATTGCATATCACGCAAGAAAACACGCAAGGATTAAGATATTAAGCGGAATGGGATTACTTAAATGGAACATAGAAAGCATGGTGCAAAAGTTATTCTTTCCCAAGAATTCAAATCTAATCGATTCAGCTACAATGTGTGTATGGGAAACAAGGCTCGAACCTTTTCAAAGACAAGAATTTGAAAAGATGGCAAAAGAAGCCAACGAGATCAATCAAAATAAAAGACAAATTACTGAAGACACTCTCAATCGGATCGCTAGAATTGATATCCCACAAGTGGGGAATCTTCCTTTGGATCATTCCTTCTATAATGGGACTAGTTTCATGAATAATAACGATTTCGAATCATTTTTACCAGCAGGGAGTTCAGGAAACTCAAATTTTGGATGGTAACAGAAAAATCTCATAAGTACACAAGCATTATAAGAATTACTTTAATTGCGCTCACGATAAAAAAAAATATATGCAAAATATTTCTTTCTTTTTGTATTAAGATTTTAAATTTTGAAATTTTTTCCGTGAGCAGAAATATTTCTGAAATTTTTAAATCCTAAATATTAGAATTAAGTTATTATGATATTGATATGATGTAATATTATTTGTTTTTCTTGTATGAATACTTAAGATATTAAAAAAAATATAGTTTTTTTTTTATTTATTTATTTTTATTTGTAAAACGTAATTCCCATGCAATTTTATTCGAGTTTTTTCCGAAATTTAACTACTGTGATATTTAAGTTGATCAAACAGATAGATCTTCGATTTTTTTGGCTGGGAGTGTTACTGATTGTTCTTTATCAGATGAATCAAGGCAATTTTAAATGATTTTCATTATTGAAAAAAACCTGTTTCAACACTAATTTAATTCAAAATAGGAATAAAGAATTCACTTATTGGATGTAGATAAATTTAAGTTCCGGTCATATGAGTTTACAAACAAATTAGATTAAAGTAAATATTTGTGGAGAAAAAATGTTCAAGTTTCACCAAATACATATGATTAATGTTTTTTTTTTTTTTTTTTTTCCTTAAAATCTTTAACTTGAAATAAATCACGGTTAATTTTATAATTATAAAATTTTTTTTACCTTTTTTTTATCAATTTGACGCAAAACCGATTTTGATATAAGGTAATTATCAACTTTTATCTTGTTACTCGATTCAATAAATAAGTTTGATCAAAATCAAGATTTCCCTTTTCTTTTGATGTGCCATTTGAAATTTTTCAATTAAGATTTGAAGATTCAATATAAAAAAAAAATAAAGTATATACCTTATCGTTGTTACACGTTCAAGAATATAATAGTAGGTTTTGTTCAATTGTTCACCTCATAAACAAACTTAATAAATCTACATGTAACAAAACGTAAACAAAAGAAACACCCTCTCACTTGACCTTAAGAGTAACCGAATCTCATAGCAGATTTTATGAAATTAAACTGCAAATATAAAATAAAAACTTTTTCATCTATAATATATATTGTGGCTTATTGATAATTAATATATCCGAATTTAAGTATGATAAACTCAATTCATATTCTAAAAATAAAAAGACAAAAAGAATTTACTATACGTGCAGTATGTATTTTTATTTTGCTCTATAAAAATTTTGCAACATTCAAGCTAAAAGAGAAATTTATATTGACCAATTGATTTATTACAAATGCTGCTAAGCGAGATGCATGTTAATTAATAGGAAAACGACCAAGGTAAATTTCGCAATTTTTGGCGCATTTTCTGTACACTAACACTTTTATTAACCCTCAAGTAAAACGCATTTGAAATTCGAAATGCCCCGAACATCACATGACATTTTCTGGATGATTACCGAACTTACCTTTTCCATAGGGAAATCGGCTAATATTATTACCAAGTGAATTATCGCTGATATATGCTAGTTCTAGAGGATTAGAATAAAGTGAAAATTATATTTCGGCGCATGGTATGTGTATATTAGTAGTATATATTACGTGATACGGTCACAGTAATTATCGCTGTCTCTTGCAATGACTCTCTAAATTATAGTTATTTAATTTGCTTTAGCATAGCATTTTAATATCAATAAAATTATATTATATAATAAAGGAAGGGTTGAAACAAAGGAAACCGACAAATTTTGCAGATCATTAAAAAATGGTGTAACATATTTCGAATTCAAATTATTACCCCACTTTACCACCTTAAACTTTGATCATCCATTTATATATAAATGACAACTTTTAACCTTTAATAACTTTGTAATTCCACAGGAAGATCATTCATTATTGTTCGGCTTGATATTAAATTATGATAAAAAGTCAAAATGCATCTTTCACCAAGCAGGTTGTTTTAATTACTTCGAGGATTTCGCTGCTTTGTTCTCAGCTGATTATTCATCCCACAATTTTTAGTATTAATTTGGTTTTCGATCGATTTTAAATTTAAAATCAAAAATTTGTTTTTTCTTGTTCAGCCAGATGAACAAAGATATTATGATAATATTAAATTTTTAAATGATTTTTCGTTCATTATTCAATAATGATTAAATAATTTATTTTTAACGTATCACGTGAGTAAATTTTCAATTCGGAAGGTCATTTAAAGCCTTGATTTATGTCTTGCATAATCCTTTGATTATAAAAAAAATAAAATTGCGAAAAAGTATTGATTGAACAAAAAATAGTTATATACTTTAGACTAGCAAAGATAAGCAAGCAGATACATAAATAAAGAAAAGAGCAATAAGAGCAAAATAAATTATAGCGAAATAACGAGATAAAAATGGGAGAATATTAATTTCAATTCGTCTCATGTTAATGAAAATGAATTAAAGACAACAATTCCATAAAGAAATTATAACCAACCTCGTATTCCAAAGGTTTTCTTATTATTGCTTACCATTTTAAGAAATATACAGCGATAGGAAGGTGAGGCGTCATTGTCACAGTTTTAGGAGCAAACATCTTTCTGCAATCCATTATATACAAATTTTCAAACAAGAAAATGACATCACAAAAATACATTATCACAATTCACCGGGAACTTAAAATTTAGAAATAGACGGAAAATGTTCTTTGTTTCAAATTTAAAATTTACATTTTAACAAATTTATTTACTTAAAATTTGTAGCGACAAAAAAAAAATTTAAAAAATACATAAAAAACGAAAGCTGCTAGCAAAATACGACTAACTAACTTAAGGGAACCAAAAATTGTTAAACGAAAATAATAATGTGAATAAACATAAGACTATCTGGTATAAAGAAATAAAAAAGAATATGTGAAAACAAAAAATATAGTTAAGAAGCAAGAAATAAAACGTCGACATATTCTTTTCTATAACAAAAGATTCAACAAATTAAAGAAGTGCTTTTTTGCTTACCAAAATATAATTTTAACAATCTCCTCGACATATGGGGCAGTCACGATCATAACTAACACCTCTTTGTCGGTGGCTATCATGGTGTTCACTGGCGATGTATCCAATTTCTTCTTTCGTATTTTCTGTAACGTTATACATTCTACTTCCTATCTTTATGGCTTGACCGGTCCTAAGCAAACATTTGGCGGTGGTAGTTTTCCTTTGTCCTGCTGTTGAGGTTCCTAGTCCGAATAATCCACCAGTAAGACCGTGTCCTATATTCTCAACGTAATCTCCTACCCCCTCTAAAAATTCATTACCATCTTCTTTGGAGATTTCTTTAATTCCTTTACCGATAAGGTATGCTCCGCTTCCAATTAAGGGTGCTGTTATTCCCCCAGAAGCAATATTAGCTCCTGCTTCTCTTATTAACAGCAAGTTTTCCAACTTCTTTGGTGGCTTCAATAACTTCATTTCCAACTTCTTCGAGACCTTCAGCGAAATCGTCCCAAAATCCCATTATTTTTCTGTTAAGTCGTAAGAATAAAGATAGAAAGCTTCAAACTTAAAAAAGTTAAAAAACATTTATAAAGAATATAAAAGTTAATTTTGCCAAGAAACATAACTTACTTTATTTCGTAAAAGGGAAGAGACTTTATAAAACTTATAGAACCTTAAACGGTTAAGGAGAAAAAAAAACCAATACCAATACCTACGTTTTTTATAAGAAAAATATAGTTGGCAAAAAAACGCGGAAACTTTCTCCGAGTTATACTTTATTATGGCATGCTATTCCTTTTTAATCCCTTTGTTTCCATGAAAGATATAAAAAGATCAACTTTCACAAGAATTCATTCAAAATTTCTGTTATAATTGAACATAAAATTTTTTAGTTGTAATCTATTTTTAATCATTATGTAAACTTGTTCTTCGTATCAATAAATATATTTCTTCAAACTTTCAGATTAATTACATTTATACTTGTATAAAGTCAATACCTTGCTCTTTTATAACATAATCTTCTCTCGCGGTCCCTTTCAAAACTTTCCATGGAAATTAAGCAAGCACACGAGCTTTCATCTAAAAATTACATCATAATTCCTTAAAAAACTCAAATACAATTTTGCCAACTCTTTATTAAAATTTCCTTATTTCGACACGGCTTATTGAGAGATTAATGTATATTTGTGTTACAAGGTGAAATTGATTTACAATGGTCACTTCAGTGTAAAATTTGATTTCAACGGATTTCAGTCACGAGACCATAAATCTTTATTAAAGAACATAAACGTTTATGTTTAAGAATTATTGGTATATAGTGACGCATCAAGAAAAACCAACACTATCTATAAAAAATTCAACATAAATTGCTAACGGTTTCGAAATAATTCAATCGGAGAAAAATCATCAAGTATAGATCGTTCATTCTATTAGGAATATGCGGGATTTAAGTAATCGATATTTTATTGACCATAACATTAGCATTAGTAGCATTACTGAACGAATATACAATTATTGGATTTTAACATTTTCCACTATTACAAGTTGTTTTGTCTAATAAACGGAAATATAAAACTTGGAATATTAAATTAACAAATATTCTATCTTTGAGTTTTAGAATTAAATGTATGTTTATGGCCAAACTACGGAATATTATGATACTTCAAAAATGCTGATTTAATCTCAAAATGTATTAAAAAAGAGATTTATCATCTATTAAGAAAATATTAAAAACTGTTTTCTATGATGGATTATTTAAGTCAATTTCTTGTATCACGTGACTTAATTATCATTATATAATTTTTATACTAGTAAATTCAATCATTATCATTTTTATTATGTATAAAAATTATAAAGAAGAATATAAGGAATAATAAACTTATAAAGGTATAATAATATTGATACAGAAATAAAAAAAAAATGAAAAAATATACAAATATACTTATAAAAAACTAAAATTAATATTGCAGTCAAACTATCATTTTTATTTTTATAGAATTTTTATTTAAAAAAATGTGCTTATAAAAAAGTTTATTATATTGTGATTATATAAAGATATTTTTTTATTTATTTAATCATAATTGGTTTTAATATAATTAAAATTATAGATGATTTTTATATACAAATAGAATTATTGTAGACAGATATAAAATTGGATTTAGTTTATTTGATTTGATTTAAAGACTGATCTTTTTAAATTAAGTTTGTAATATAAATTGAATTTTTAAATTAATTCTGAAACTTAGCTTTAAGACTAATCTTAAAACTAAATTTAGACTGATTTATACTAATTATTAATATTTATAATTCAATATTATATTTTATATAAATATTACTTTTTAAATTTATTTATATTATTATTTTAATCTATAATACAGAATGTATTTATACTAATAGTAATATAAATTTATATTAAAAAATAAAATATTTAAAAAAAATTTAATTATTTATTATTAAAAATTAGTTGAATATAATAAAATCTTTATTTAATTTTTATAAAATTATATATTTACTAATAACTATTTATAATATAATTTAAGTTTATATTTTAATTTAAAATATAATTAAAATTATTTAAATGGTAAATTTAATTTTAATTAAATTTATATCTTAATAAATATTTTATTTAATTTATTAGTTAAATAATTTAAATTATTTTAGCATAATTATTTATTTAATTAAGTTATTTTTAGTTTTAAAAATAATATAAATTACAATTAAATTCTTATTGTTATAGTTTAAGAAATAATATAAATTAAATTTAAAATACTTATAAAATATTAAAAAGTAATAAATAAATTTAAATATAATTAAACTTTTAAATTAATATAAATTGTTAAATCTGTTTTAAATTTTGTTATTATTAATTCTATACTTTTTTTAATTTTTACAAATATTATAATTATTATTATATTAAAATTTTATAATAATTATAATATTTTAACTTTAACATTTATTATAATGATACTTGTCTAAATTTATTTTGAATTTAGTAAAATATTTGAACCTTTAATTTACTAAATTTTTATTAAAGTTGTAATATAATTTACTATTTTTATAAGATTTGATATAATTTTACCTTTTTCTGAGTTTATCAAATTTTTAATAAGATTTTAATATAAATTTGCTAATCTTATCTTTATCATTTGAATAATTTACAAAAGTTTATCTAATTATCAATAGATAAAATAATGATAAGTTTATTAATTTGTTATATTAAGATATATATAATATTAGTACTTTTAAATTTTTAAAATTAATTATTTTTAATATATATCTTAATTTCTAATAATAACAAAAAAATATATTTTAATTTATTGGATTTATTTAATTAATATATATATAGTAATAGCATTTTTTATTTTTGAAATCAGTAGATAATAAGATATATAAGTTTAAAAATTTTAATCATACATTTATTTTTAAATAATTACTAGTTAATTACTTTTTTTTTTTTTAATTTTTACACTATAAAGTATTAAACTTTTAATAATTAATTTAAAAAAAATATTAAGAAATATTTTAATTAAATAAAATTGCAGACAAATTTATAGGTAAACCATTGAAGGGATAATATAAATATGAATAATAAATAAATAAAGATGATAATTATTAATTAAAAATTTTAACATATTATTATTCATAAACAAGTATATCATCATAATAAAAATTTAAAAAATTTACAATTGAAGATATTATTTTCTTATTGAACATTTTTATGAAAATTTAAAAATAAACAATTTTTACATTAATATTATAATAATGCTTTGTGATTTTACTAAAAATAAATAATTATCAATATTGTATTCTTATTGGCCAATGCATACCAAATCTTTAACCGACAATTTGTAAGCAATAACGATGTTCTTTTCCGGTCGGTTGGTTCTTCTGTCAGTTTTATATACATAAGAAGTTTATTTTGTGAATTGAGCTGGTTTGTAATGATGTTCGACCTACGTGTGACAACGAATGTTAAAAATCAGTGGTCGGTGCTTATTACTAACAACCAAATTTTTTTGTTTTTAAGTTCAGAGTCGTACAAAGTTTACGTTTCTATTGGATTAAAAAATAATATATTTATTTTTTTTTTATAAAAAAAAAAAATAATCTAAATGATATAGTTACCTGGCAAAACTCTTGGGTTTCATTGGCAAAACTGTAATAAAATCTTATTGGCAAACCCGTTGAAACTCGAAACCATAATAAAATCCCGTCAAAGTCAAAACTATATTATATACTTATTAACAAAATCCGTAGAAAATATAGGGTTTCGACTTTTGCCAGGCAACTATACTAAATGATTTAGAACCAAAAAATTTCTTTTAAATTTTTAATAACGTTAATTATAACCGGTCAAATATTCAGATCAATTAATTTGGCCAGATTTAACCAAATTAGTTATAATTTAGGCGGAATTAAGGTTAAGCCGACATATTGAAATATTGAAATAAAAAAGTTTGGCTTTAAAAGGTCTTACACAATAAAGATAATTGTAAATAAAAGCCTAACAAGGAAAGGAGGAAAGCAATTTCTCAAAGTTGGTTTAAATCGTCTTGGTCTGAGCTAATTGGTACAGATTGAAACATTCTAAGCTTTGAACTATTAAGCAATTGTTTATTGATACATCCAAATCTTGTATTACCTCCGGCAGTCCTGTTAAATATTTTTCCCCTGTTCGAAACGTTTAAAGCAAATGGTTTATGCAAATATGCCGATAAATAGAAACCAAATATTTATTTTGGTGGGAGCAAAATTGTATGGCTACAAGCATGCTGCAAGTTGAGGAAAAAAGAAATTTCTATGATATTTTATTTGTACATAGATAGGTAGATTTTTCATGGTGAGAAATTATTTGTGAGGTTGGTAAATATTTATAAATATTTGTGAGAATTTTAGATATAGTTCATCCAACCCTATCCAATCTTTTTAAGATTCAAACTTTGCAATTTGTTGGAAAAAAAAAAATTTTAACAATCGTGCAAATTGTTAATATACGTTATTTGTTAAAGCAAACAACAAACCGTACAAATGGATTGAAAAAACAAATACGTATTTCATGTAGGCGTCAATTTTTCGCAACGAAACACAAATTGTCTGAAGGGAGGACGACATATATTTTCGATTTCTTTTTTAGTGTCCATTCGTTCATTGAATAAATCAATTGGACCAATTTTAGTTAGTACATTTATAGTCTGATTATCTAAAAAAAAAAAAGATTAAATTACGTCACAAGTAATCTTGCGCGTCATGATTCATTTTAATTTTTTGACAATTAAAACACCATCCACTTAAATCTATATTCACACACTAGTTCATAAAGAATAAAAACTGTAGAATTCTCTGATAAAAACTTTACTACATCCAGATTCGTTATAAACAATTTTATTCATATTTATATAACATAAAAAAAAAATAATTTCTTCTTTTATAAAATAAATAAGAAAAAAAATAAAAGAAAAAATGGAAAAAAAAACACGTTAAATTGAAATTATCGAGGAAATAAAAATTTTTTTAAATTTATTAAATTTATTAAAGGCTCTGTAAGTAACAGATCGTCAAAGAGTTTTTTTTTAATTCCCTTGTGCAATTTTTTTTTTTTTTATTTTATTTTTATCCCTGCGTTAATGTTAATGAACATTGTATGCCTTTTGCATTGCATATTAAATAAAAAACGGGTATTCTCATAAAAACAAAATTCGCCAAATTACTCTTACTGAAATTTTGTTTGGTTGATCCTGGAGTTATATACTAAAATGGAATTAGCCCCTTGATGGCTGACGCTAAATCATATGTCTCTATATTTTTTCACGCATTTGTATTATGAGTTTCAAAAATTATTTTATTTTCTAATTCTTTTTTGTTTAATGACTGAAATTACAATTAATTATTTGATCTTACATTTAGGTTAAAATTTTATCTGCTTAAAAAATAAATATATCTAAAAATTTACTATAAAATGAAAGAAAAACATACACAAACACACACACATATGATTTATCATGTTTCGTGACACACGGTTCAAATAAATATTCTAGTCGTGTAAAATATAATTTAATTTCATCTTCTCATGTCGATTCGAGAGAAAATTAATTGAATATTTGACGTTACACGGGATAAATGATGAAATAGAGGAGTCAATTTGATCTCTGAAATAAGATATCGGAAGATCAATTAGGTCAAAGTAAAAGGTAATAAACCGCAGGTCCACAATAAAAGGAAAAAAAACTTACGGTTGTTGAGTACGAATGCTTAGTCCACACCTATGAAAATCTAAAAAATAATTTGACAGTTAAATTTAGCCTATAAATTATATTATCAATGTAATGTTACTTACTATTCAGTCCATTAAGTGACTTGTAACTATTACAACAAAAAAAAGAAAAGAAAAAGAATTGGTAAATATCTTAGTCGAAAGCATTTAAATTAGAGAAAAAAAAAATTTTAATTACCGATTCCTACAATCGGGAGCCGACCTTCCAAGTTCTCTTGCAATTTTTGCCCAGTCACGTCCATACTTAACAATTAGCCCATCGAACCGGATTTGTTCCTACGCAAAATGAAAAGAATGTAAATTTTTAAGATAAATAAAAATAAAAAAAAATACTTTTCTTAATATTTATATTGAACGTACATTATTCGTCCATGTTCCTTTTCGTAATGGGATCATATTGCTTGGCCTTAGTTTTCTTTAGTAATTATATAATAGAGGGGTTATATTTATTTTTTTATAAAAAAAAATTCCGAAACTTAAAAACTGAAATTAAGGCGTTTAACGAACATTTTTAAACATTTTCGAAATATAACACAGGGAACGCATTGACTACTAATGATTTTCTGCAACTGCTGATTTACATTGACAGGTCTTTTCATTTAATTTCTTTTTGGTAAATTTTCAATGATTCTAAATGCAAGCTCCTTAAAAATGTACATGGAGGAATGAAAAACGCAAATTCTGGTAAGTTTCATATCGAATTACAATCAGACAATACAGATGTCAGAATGTAAAAAGTCAATGCATCTTGGGATTTGTCCAATCCTGTGAATGTTTGTGGAAATGTCATTCTTCATAATGAGATTTTATGTGGCGTTCGATTATATATAAAATAATTTATGAAATAAAGGTAATTTATCGTGCATTTTTACTTGTTCGACTACAGGCTTTTAAATATTTCCTAATTTTTCAAAAACTATGCATGGAGATGTAAAAAAAAAAATTTTTTTTCTCATTTTTTTTTTTTATGATAATCTTATAAATTAACTTTATAAGGCAAAAACGAATTATATTATGAAATAATTCAAAGCTTTACTAAGCATGGATTTTCAGGGCTTATGCACAGCACATTACTTGTTGATGTAATCAAACTAACGTTAACTTGTCAATATATGCAGACGCAGCAAAAACAAATTTAAAGATCAATCGGATGATTATGTATTTGAAGGCGCAATTCTGCTGATTTAATAATTCAATGAAACTTGAAGAAATTATACTTCTTACTATAATATAACTTTATTATCCACATTTTTCTTCATTACATAGAAATAATTTTCGTGGAAATCGCAAAATCATGTTAGATTGAAAAGATTCCGCATGTGCAAAATAATTATATAGCACGGTCAAAATGCTCAAACTTACTTGTTTGGCGAACAAACAGAATGTAGAATATATAATTAGGTATATTCGCACCTGGAAAAGTATTTGTAGAATTAATATTTCATCAAATTAATTGTTATATGGATTAAAGTCACTTCACTTTACGGGTCATACAATTTATTATATCTCGTGTCTCGATTTTAAAAAACAACACATACTTGAATCGCACTATTCAAAAAAAAAAAAAAAAGGAAATCCGAAAGTTGAAAAATATCATAGGAATCTTTTTAGATTTTCTTTTTTTTTTGTAAAACAGTTTTGTATTTAAAGAAATATATTTTTATAGTTAATAAAATCTATTCTTTGAACGTTATTTCCATGGAAATAAGTCAGTCTGTTCGATTAAATAAAATCAAATTTGCTAAATACTTAAAACAACGTTAAATCCATGGAATAATCATCAGGTGTTATTTTAAGGATTTTAAAATCTATTCTAGAAACGAGAATGGAATTTATTAAATTGGGCGGCAAGTATAATCGTTGAAACAAAATGCATTCTATGTTTTCACATATGCGATGAAATAATAATTGACGATCCAGAAAAAATTAAATGTAAAATCCTTTGTCAATCATTTATCAAAAATAAAAGAAATATTACATCACGAACGAAGGACTATCAAATTAGTCACGAGACATAGTAAATCATATGATCAGTAATGTGATTTTAATGGATTTTAATCCAGTACACGTTACGGATCAAATGACTTACTATGTCTATGAAACCGTCCTGACGTCGCCTGGGCGACGCTATGTAAAGCCTGACCGTGACGAATTTTAATAAATGAAGCAAAAAGTATACATACCAATATGGCTACCTTTTATTATCAACGTTTATATCAGTTACGTTTAGTCATTGAAATAGTGAAGTCGAGGGTATACATAACAATGCTGTCAGCACTTTAAAGGTGAGATCGTAATTTACAATGTGTTTTATCCATAATATTCTGTACATTTCATGAATGTGAGGACCATCAAAATGGTTCGTTTTTGGTTTCGTGTGATATGGAGTGTTCTTTCTACAAAAAAAAAAAAGAATTAGAATACACATACAGAATATCATTATAATTTCGTAACGATTGTGAGTATTTTCTGGTGCATTGAACCGGTAGTCTTCCCTCGTCTACCTCAATAGACATGCCCTTTGGATTACCTGAAATATCGCTATCATTTCGAAAAGAAAGATTCCTGCCACTACGTGAAAAAGTTTTATGGTTTGTCGTTATAACCTCGCATTAATATCGGTTCACACGTGTGAAAATGTAGTCAAGCATTACGATACATTCGACCACACAAAAGATATAGACAATTTTGAAGGACACATATGATGAGACCTTAACCTACGATTGCAAAGAATACAGCGAGAACATGATAAAAATTTATAATGTAGAGTGAACTTTTGTTTTTGGGAGAGAGCCACTTTATATATACTATTTTCCTTTAATCATTTTTTGGTCATTGTGATGTCATATATTGTCGGAATTAGGATCAAAAGAGCAATGCAGTTTGTCGATCATACATACCAATCATCCAATAATAAACAACAAATTATAATAAACAAATGAGTCCTTGAAATGCTTGTAATGTTTCTAAAGAAAGACCTAAATCGGTATTTCTCCCTCCTGAAGCATTTCCGAATACTCGTGAGTAATTTTTTGACGGATTTACTGTATATACTTTTGTTAAAAAAGGCCTGCTGAATCTTAAAACTTAAGTAAAGAATTCCAA